GCAATTCTTTCTTTAAACCATCTTTATGAATATAAAATCATCTGGGAACTTTTGTTATTTTATTTTATTTTTCTTATTACGTGTTTCCATTACAGTCGAATAACTCGTTTATTGTCTGTGGGGGACTTGTGAAAAGGCTACCGATTTAAGCCACTTTCGATTTCTCTGCAGACATGGAATTTGCAGTTTAGTTTCATGGCAATCATCACTGATTCCCATTCATAGTAGTGTTCCTGTGTTTCTGAGTTTCGGGTTAACGCATAAAAGTCAATACGATAACATGCACTGTTGATGATCGGAAAACCTCAGAAAACACACCGTAAATATCCAACACGCACAATTCCACACGCACACATATTTTCTAAAATTTCTCATACTTATCATGGAAGAGTACCTAACAGATGGACCATTTATAGATATAAACACTGTGGACAGAGTTAAAAAAAAAAACTCCATACAGAAAGGATATTGCAAAAGACAGAATGTGCGTAATAGAGACAGTATGTAATTGAAATTAAAGTTACCAAATATATATATATATATATATATATATATATATATATATATATATATATATATATATATATATATATATATATATAGTGCGTTCTGCTTGATTATGCAAAGTAAATTTTTCATCTAACGTGTCAATAAATTCTGTTTTTTTTTTCAGATTTGGTGCTTCTTACAGATTAAATTATACTTTCAGACAAGTAAATATGGTCAATGAAAAAAAAGTCATATAGTAACATAGTTCTTTTTCTCAAGGTATGTAAAAAGGCACAGTTTCAAGTGTTCGGTCTGATTAAGCAATCACCATATAAATCCTTAATATGGGTAAGAAAAAGGGTCTTACTGAAAACGATCATGCTGAAATTACTCGCATTCTTGGAAGTGGTCTGTCAACGCTAGAAATTTCAAAAAAGTTACATAGACACCACCGTACAATCAAAGCATTCATCTTAGGGCAGTAAATCATGCAGAAAGACACCTAAACGATCGCATTTGCGAAAGTTAACTGCCAGAGATCTTCGTAAAATTAAATATGAAGTCTCGAAGAAACCTCATGATACTAGTAAAAAAATATTTGAAAGCGCTGGAGTGCCCAAAGTTGGTAAAACTACCCGTTGTGAGGTCCTCAAGACCCTTGCCAAAGTGAAGAGTCCCATCAAGAGGCCTCCGTTGAGCAAATCAAACAAGATGAAAAGAGGTGAATGGGCACACAGTTACATGAAGACCAATTTTAGCAATGTGATTTTCACCGATGAGTGCCGTGCTACCCTTGATGGGCCTGATGAGTGGTCATCTGGATGGGTGTTAAATGGTCGACCAGCAAGAGTACGCATTCGTCGACAACAGGGTGTCGGAGGAGTTATGTTTTGGGCTGGGATCCGCGGAAATGAATTAATAGGCCCATACAAAGTACCCAAAGGGCTTAAGCTAAATTCAAATGCATATTGTAGGCTTTTGGAAGCGTTTGAATTATTTAGCCTAACATGTTTGAATGAAAAATGTTGTCTATATATATATATATATATATATATATATATATATATATATATATATATATATATATATATATATATATATATATATATATATATATATATATATATGTGTGTGTGTGTGTGTGTGTGTGTGTGTGTGTGTGTGTGTGTGTGTGTTGAAGAATTAAAAATTAAAATTTTTATAAACATTGTGTTGTATATTTGTATATTATTTTTTCTTTTTTTTTATTATTTAAGCTACGTTCCTCAACTAGTTTCGGCCAACACGGACATCATCATCAGGAAAAAAATTGGGAGAAAAAAAATGGTTGTTACAGGTGTGAATGACTATTTATGAAGAAAATGAACTTTATCTAAAGTTTTCATTTGTTTTTTTTAGCGTTAATTTTGGTTGCTCTTTGTGTTGGTCACACGGCCTCATTCAAGTTGTTTTTTTTTTCTGGGGAGATTCATGAGTCGTAGAATTCCTTTCTTGGCCATTTTGACAGTTCCATTGGTAGCTGGGAGGGCAGTGTTAAGTGTATACTATCTTTTAATTCTTTGGGAGTGCGTATGATGTATGTAACTGTATATATTGGTATGACTGTGTGTATCAGTGTGAGACATCAACACCATATATATATATATATATATATATATATATATATATATATATATATATATATATGTGTGTGTGTGTGTGTGTGTGTGTGTGTGTGTGTGTGTGTTTGTAAGTGGAATGGGCGTGTTGCATTTACATTCTTACCGTGCCTGTTCACTTAGCACTAATGCTTATGGAAATACATTTTACTCCAATTACAGTTTAAATAACTCCCCTGACATGACTCTTTTAGATTGAGTGGCAACCGTTCATGGAGAAGGAAAACTCCGAATTCATTATTATTACATTTAGTTTTAAGTTATGGGGTTTTATTTATTTTTTGCGACGATATGTTGGCACAGTAGGAAATTTTTTCCTATGTCTGAGATTGGAAAAGAAAATTCCTACTACACTACCTAAATCTCGTTATTCTACGTACTAAAATTTAGAATCAAAGTAAAAGCATAACTCACATAAATTAAATATACAAACAAATAAAATAAAAATAAAGTAAGCAAATTAATGGTCATTATTATAAACAACCTCAAGTATTTAGTGCTAAACCCCCAAGCAGGGAAAGGCGAATTTTTTCTCATTTGTAACTTCGATAATATCCCTTATGGCGTAAATAATAAGAACTTGAAAAGGGGCACTGAAACTTGAAATGTTATAGTCCCTACTTACAACCAGTAACAATAGATTCCAGGATCTACCTGCCAAAATGTTGCCTATGAAAAGTTTCTGGCGAGTTCAACGAACCCATACAGCCGAGGGTTCGGGCGCTACAGGCTCCCAAGAAAATTTAGAAATTTGACTAATTATAGTAGAATTCTGAGGCCATATGAAATGGGTATTAGAGCATATTCTACGGTCAACATTAGCTACCTCAACCCATTGGTTTATAATTCTACCACTAAAACGGTCTTATTTTAATAACATCTACTTAAAGAAAACATTGATTTTGTCGTAAAATTCACTCATTAACGAAAATTGCTTGAGGGGTCCCTCTAGGGTTAAAAACCCCGATGTTTATGCTTCATTAGTTTCATAAAAGATCCGCCGTTGGTTTGAAGATAAATTTTAAAATATCAATTGTTAAAAATATTCAGTTTAACAGAGAAACCGTTAAAGACAATTTGCCATTCATAAATTGGGAAATAAAATCCAGTATTAATTTGAACGTAAATTGTGTAAAAAAAAAAAATACCTGGGGGTTCAGGTGATGCAAGCTCTCAAGAAATCTTTTGAAATTTGACCAATTACAGAAGAATTTTGAGACAATATGTATTGGGTATTAGAGCATATTCCAAGGCCAACATAAGCTACTTCAATCCATTGGCTTATAATTCTATCACTAAAATGGCCCAATTTCTATCTATATATAAAATTATTTGACTTCCGTTAGTCCGTCACATCCTCTAAAATAGCCATACATTGATCAATCAAAACCAAATTTTGGGGAGAATTATAAACAGGCAAGTGGTTACAAAGTACAGTTGGTTTTACCAGGGTGCGTAGATTAGTATAATAAATTTAATATTCTTTTTTATATAATATTCTTTTACTATTTTAAAAACAATTTAATGGTTAAAATAATAAATGCGTATTTACTAAAAATGCAATATTGTTTTTTGGATAACTTTTCTTGAAGTTTTATATGTACAAGAATCCAGTTTTCTGTTCGCCCTGCGTTTGCAAGAACTATATACAAATCACATGGCCAGACGCTTCAAAAAGTTGAAATTAGGCATCAGAAAGAAATATTTAGTCATGGCCAGTTATATATTGCAGGCTTAAGAGTAAGAAATACTAAGAATTTATTCTTCGCTGTTAAAGAGTAAAAAGGAAATAAATAAATTTTCTTTGAAAATACTGTTTAACATGAAAACTTGTAAAATTAAATCAAATAAATTATTAAATCACGAAGTAGGGTTTTTGTCGAAGTATTTTTCCTTATTCAAATATCATTGATTGGTTTGTGAAATTGAACGAAACGTAGTTTGTAAATTTCGACAAAAAAAATAGCGATAAATTCAACAATACTAAATACTGTGAGGATTTCAACGTGCGTCAGCGTTTTGCAAAATAAAAAAATACAGTAAAAAAAAATATTAAAAAAAAACATCTATTTTGTAGATAAATTTATTAATTGAAAAAAGTTACTTCAGGTGCCCCCCCCCCTGAGATTAGGGGCTCTGAAGCTTAAGTTTTCTTAGTTTCATAGTGATTACGCCCTCGGTGACACGTTGGCTCTAGACTAGATGTGAAACTGACAGTTTGCTGTCAACTATATCCAAACTTTTTATATCTATAAACGTTCTATCTCCGATATGAAGTCCATTTCTGTCATAAATAGAGGAACATTTAAAACAATATGTATGCGTGCGTCTGATTTGCACACGCGTGTGTATTGTGCTGTTATTTTCAACTATTACGGCGCTTCCCCAAGCTAATGACGATTATGAAAGCTTAAGTGATAAATGCTTGCTATTTTCATGCTGTTATTTAGCAAGCAATTTCGCTGGTATTAGTTTCATCAATAGCCAGCCGACGAGTGTGTGTAGGGGTGTGTGCATGTTTGTGTGTGTGTGTGTCAATCAGATTGTTTGCTTATCTGTGAGGAGACTGACACATATTGGGCACGGTAATAACCCTACTGCACCTACAAGTCTCTCTTTTTGGCCTTCTTGCGACAAGAGATTCGCTTTGATGTTATGACTCATAAAAAAAGAAGAAGCACAAACAAGAAAATACAGTTCGATTGAGTGTCAGATGCTTGATGACTGAACGATAGTGTTTGATATTACAAATAAAGACAGAGTCCAAAGAGATGAAAGCTACTGGTCTGTCGGGAGGGCTGGGTGGGTGCGATGTCAGAGATGATGATGATGAAGAGAAGAGGAGGAGGAGGATTAGAATACGGATGATAAGAATAACGTTAAGGTGCTGCCTAAGGAGGGGGAAAATGTCGAAGGATAATCACTGAAGTAGAATTGGGAAAAGGAGTTGCGAGAAGAAGAAGAAGAAGAAGAAGAAGAAGAAGAAGAAGAAGAAGAAGAAGAAGAAGAAAAAGAAGAAGACAATGATGATGATGTTGAAGATGATGATAAAAAAGACAAAAAAGGAAAAACAGTAGCAAAACAAAGATGGAGGAATAGTAGTTGATTGTGGGCATAAGTGAAATAGATATTTAAATTGAAGAAGAAGAAGAAGAAAAGAAGAAGAAGAAGAGGAAGTAGAAGAAGAAGAAGATGATTACGATGATAAAAAAAGACAAAAAAGGAACAACAGTAACAAAACAAAGATGGAGGAATAGTTGTTGATTGTGGGCACAAGTGAAATAAATATGTAAATTGAAGAAGAAGAAGAAGAAAAGAAGAAGAAGAGGGAGTAGTAGTAGAAGAAGAAGAAGACGAAGAAGAAGAGGAAGTAGAAGAAGTAGAAGAAGAAGAAGAAGAGGAAGTAGAAGAAGTAGAAGAAGAAGAAGAAGAAGAAGAAGAAGAAGAAGAAAGGGAAGTAGAAGAAGATGATTTTGATGATAAAAAAGACAAAAAAGGAACAAAACAAAGATGGAGGAATAGTTGTTGATTGTGGGCACAAGTGAAATAAATATTTAAATTGAATAATAAGAAGAAGACGTAGAGGAAGGGCTTATGTTGGAGATACAAATAATTATAAGAAAAAAAAAGAATCCGAATTAAAACGATCAAAATAGATGAATAAATAAAAGGAAAAAAAGCACATAGAAGCGATGATGAATATGGAGGGAAAAGGCGGCAAAAGGAAGTAAAAAAAAAATATGGCGAATCACAAGAAATGTAACGAACAAAGACAGAAAGAAACTACATGTACACAACGGTACTAGCAATAACGCTAAATCAAGAAACGTGTTCAATAAGAGTCTAGATAGATGTGTTGACGATGATGTTGGTGGGATGAAATTGCTTTCTTTTTAAAAACTGTCGGCGAAGATTTTTTTTACCCAGTTAAAAAAAAAAATTTAAAAAAATAATGCAATGGAACTGGGATTTAAAAGAAAGGAAAAGTGAATAAAGACTAAACAAAGATGTCGTATTTTGAATTGGAATCGTCTTTTCTGACTTTTGAGCTTGGATTGATTAAAGATATCCCTATAGAAAAATGGGGAAAGAAAATGACAAGGAGGAAAAAACGTCTTACAACTTTGGTTTGAGTAAGTGTATGGATGACTCTAGTTAAAATGGTGTCGGAATTGAACTAAAATAAATAAATAAATAAAAAATGAAAAAAAAAGGAATTAAATCAAATTGGCGCAATCTACAAAAATAAAATTTTGTAGAACAAATGAAACAGTTTCATTTCGTGAAAGCGAATTATAATGTCTCTTTTAACTAGAAAAAAAAAATTATTTCACGACTTGCATTCTTTTAACCTGAACAAAAAAATGCTTAAAGACCATTTCATTTCAACTTTATTTTTTTCTTTTTATATTAATTCCTTCAGCAACTGCTTTAAAAAAAAAGCACATATCATTTGTACATAGAAATAGACTTGAGCATCATAATGAAAATAACTTTGGTCTAAATGACTTGAAATGGTAGACATCACGTGATATAAAAGAAATAACAAAAGACATTTTTACATCATGCTATAAAGAATCAATGGCTTACACGTTACACGTGATACCCGGTATGACTGATAGACGAAAGCAAATCAAATACCCTTTTCGAGGTGGCACAAAGGATCTCTATACTTTCGTATTGATTGATACATCTTCAAATCATGTCGGCAGAAAGTTATACATTAATATGTTTTTTTTTTCCGTACTTCGCTCCCAAGGTACAGGCAGCGTAGTGAATTCGTTTTTATTGGTAGGCGTTGGTAATGTAGCGTTATACTAGACCAGTGTTTCTCAACCTGGGCGATATCACCAACCGGTGGCCGATTTCACCTGTTGGCTGAGCGATGAGCAACTGAACTGGTGGGCGATTGGAGATTTTGGTCGGCGATATAGGATTTTGAGAATTAAAAGTGTATTACAACAGATGCTACCTGAAAAACAACATTCAAAGATGTATATAGAATAAAACAGCAGGCTAAATGGTAATTAATGGGTCGCATTCCAACAGATAAGATACAAATATTCTGGAAACAAAGAATATTTTGGTATTTTCTAGTTTTGATATCGGCTCGGATTGAGGAATCGGAGAGACGAATTCGAATTCCAGTCGAATCCATTACATTCACTTACATGCTAATACCCTTGGGAAATGTAGGAATCCGCTTCTGCTCTTTCCGCCAGCTATGGGTAAATAGCAGGACAGACCGGGTTCTTGGATGGCAACTGGTCTATCGCAGAAAGAAATGGAAACCTACTGCGCGAAAAAAAATCTGCCACGTCAGTCATGTATCGAAAGATACATGATCGCCTAAGCGTGTATCACATATGGCACATAACTGACTGAATTATCATTCAATTGTTCTTCAGTGTTATACAAAATAAAAATTATTCGTTGAAATTTTATTGGTTGCTAATAGTGCATATTTAATCTTAAATCGTTTATTTTTTGTCAGTACTTGCAACGCTAACCCTAATCATCAAAAATCACCTCAACCATAAAAATAAATTATATATAAATATATATATATATATATATATATATATGTGTGTGTGTGTGTGTGTGTGTGTGTGTGTGTGTGTGTGTGTGTGTGTGTGTGTGTAATTTTCAATGGTAAAGTTTACTTTCGTTTGTTCTTTAATACGGTATTAGCAGCAGCAGCAGCAACCGTCGCATAAATCAATATTAATTGTTATCACCCCCTGGTATTTTTTACTCCATCCTAAAGTTATATATGAACCAGCAACAAACTTTAACCCAACAATTTTTGTCTGCTTTTGGATATTTATTATAGAGGTAGGTAGCGGCAATTTTCTTTCCGTGTAAATGTGGGCGATGAGGCCAAAATTTTTGGGAACCTCTGTGAAAGATGAACTCAGTAATATTAAATAATACAAAATTAATGGGAATAAAAGCTAACAAACTACACACTCCTCGCAAAGCGCATAGACTTTTTTTTTTACAGTGAAGTTTATCCTGTACAAGGCCTTAGAGCCACTTGATGTAGAGCGTTGCAGAGTAAGAGGCATAAGTTATGTGGATACGTGGAGAAGATAACGGTTAACTCTAGAACAGGTTAAAATTGTAGTGATCGGGAAATATTCTCTTGGACATTGGGGAGAAGCTGCTCGAGCGGAACTTCCATCTCACCAATGGAATACGAAGGGAATGAAGGTGGTTCGCTACAATGTGCTTAGTCTTGCCATGAAGACTGGAACTGTTAAAAATTAAGGAATATTGGTCGTCTGAGCACTTTCCATGGAAGCAGCCATAGAGCAGTGTGAGGTTTGCTATATTTCGTCTATGAGGAAAGGGGTTGCAGTGTGGAAAATAATTTTACACACACAAGGGCACGGAGACACTTTTGGACATTATCGAGAAGTGGGGACTGGGCAGCTCAATAAATCCCCATCATCATCAGCAGCAGCAGAAGTAGCCTACCACCGTGTATAGTCGTAGGGTCGCTGTGGAGTCGAGCACCTGACTACTTCCCTCCATGAGAGAATATTCTTTTATGTGTAGCGTGTCTTGAGCAGGAAGGCCTGGCGGAACCCACTCCTCTCTAACTTAAACCACAGTCGGTATCTTTCAACTCAAGAACTCATCTTGGTTACGGACACGTGGCCGTTGAATTGGTCGTGGAAAACCTGCAACCTGTCCACTGAGTTCCGCCTTGGAAACCCTTTGCACACCAACGCCGTGTTATGACCGCACTGGCTGCAGACGTAGCTATGTAGGACGGTCAGTCCTTTTATACTAGGAGACCTTTGATAATACAAGAAGGTTCATTCGCCCTTTGACAGGTCTTGTTGTTAATGCCGCTCCGTGTCTAGCAACCCTCTGCACTAGAAAATTTAGGCGGAGCAGTTTAAATGCTAATGATCCAAATAATACGGAAGGTAGTAATGGCTTAGTCGGTACCAGAAGCACTTGTAGATTGAGCGGACATCAATTTGGTGGAAAGAATTGATATTATTTCTGTAGATTTTATCCTTCTTTAGCCAAAGACGTCCGTGTCCAAGTGGAGTAAAGTATTGTACATTCGAAAGATAGTTTTCGGTTAGTCGTTACATTAAAAAGTGCAGTGTATTATCTCGTGGTGGCAATGATTTAAAATATGAATAAGATGAAAAAGAACTAGACACTTTAGTCAGTTATTATTAATGTGTGACGAAATAGATGTGCATCACAGTATTCTATTGTTTTGTTTTTTTGTTCGGTGTGGGCTGTAAAGAAGCAATGGCGGAATTACAACTAATAAAAATATGGCTGGGGTCAGTTGAAGTAATCGATGCACTTATGGCTGAACATTGTCTAACTGGTTCCATCCGATAATCGTTGGTTATCTTGGCTTTAATTTAAGGCACTGATTTATTTATTTCGTCTCGTTATCTTATGGAACTTGATTTTTTTTTCTTTTTCTATGTGTCATATCCCTTTAGGATGTGACCAATCATGGCTCTCCACAACTTCCTACACTTTGTTGCTTTCTATCTATCACTATATATTTACATTTTCCTTTGGCCTTTAAGCATTAATAAAATAAAATAAAAATAATTATTTAAAGAAAAACTAAATAAATCAAAGCCGGAATACACCTATATTTCCGAAGACTTTAGAAAACACCAGAATATTTCCGAAACTTAACCTAGATATAAGTCCGTCTCTGATACTGGATATAATATTGTTGAATCATCTTTTGGCACGCAGAGTCGAAAGAATAAAGCAAAGAAAGGAAAAAGAATAAGTAGAGCGTATAAGGAGATAATAAAATAAAAAAAGAAAAAATACCATACGTCATCGTACACATGTACACATACGCCCACGCACAGGCGTACATACCCACGCACACACATACATACACTCAACGAAGAAAAATCAACCTGACGCCAACAAAAAAGCGCATATATATATATATATATATATATATATATATATATATATATATATATATATATATATAAGAACGTTATCCGAGTAGGCCTGGGTACCCTACTTCTGTAATTTATCCCAAGAATCTTCTTCTCATAACAGGAAGAAGCCGGCTCAATCCGCCCAGGGTGAATGCCGCATCAGTACAGTAGTACAGTACAGTACAGTAGTATATATATATATATAGACAAATTTAAACCCGAACTAAATAGATCGTAACCCCCCACACAAAAACACACAACATGCACGCAGGGTGACCAAATACAGTGATCAAATCACTCACATACATGGACGCACGCTCGAGGATATATATATATATGTATGTATACATACATTTATGTATGTATATGCGGATGTTGACAACTTAAGAAGTACGTGTGTGTGTGTGTACTGGTTCCATGTACCTTGGGAAATATGTGTGTATGTGTGTGTGTGTGTGCTGATTACTTGTGGTGGGATAGTGTGTATGTGCGTATGTGTGTGTATGCGTGTATAGGTACAAATAAGTTTACGAATTCCTCGTAGTAAGACAGTATATGTATGGAGGGGAAATATACGCACGCATATATACACGCATGCTGACAGGAACACACCAAAATGGAAACAGATCCAAGAGCACATAGGGGTCAGTAAAACATTAAAAGATAAAATGCCGATAACTAATTTATCATCTCGCTGGACCAACTTTAATTGTTTTATGACCCTTCGCGCAGAACTCTTCATTGCCAATTCAAGAAAGAAATTCGGATTACCAACACAAAAACAGAGAATGTCTCATATCGAGAATATTTAACATTGAACATGAAGAAAAA